CCACCTGGGTCTTTGGGTCCAGGCAACCTTAGGCAATTGCCTATCATTTGTTCCTAGTGTGAACAAAAGCTTTGCCGTAGGGACTTTTTTATGAATTAAAGAAGGGAGGGGGTTGGGTCACCCTACTCAAACTTTGGACCTCAATTAAAAAAGTTCCGTAACTTTACCCACCTGGGTCCTTAGGTCCAGGCAACCTTAGGCAATTGCCTATCATTTGTACCTAGTGTGGACAAAAGCTTTGCCGTAGTTATAAATTAAAATTGGGTGGGGTAGGGTCACCCTACCCCAACTTTGGACCTCAATTAATCAAGTTCCGTAACTTAACTCACCTGGGTCTTTGGGTCCAGGCAACCTTAGGCAATTGTTTATCATTTGTACCTAGTGTGGATAAAAGTTTTGATGAAGGGACTTTTTTATGAATTAAAATTGGATGGTGGTAGGGTCACCCTACCCCAACTTTGGACCTAAATTAAAAAAGTTCCGTAACTTTAACCACCTGGGTCTTTGGGTCCAGGCAACCTTAGGCAATTGCCTATCATTTGTACCTAGTGTGGACAAAAGCTTTGCCGTAGGGACTTTTTTATGAATTAAAGAAGGGAGGGGGTTGGGTCACCCTACCCCAACTTTGGACCTCAATTTAAAAAGTTCCGTAACTTTACCCACTTATGTCTTTAGGTTTAGGTAACCTTAGGCAATTGCCTATCATTTGTACCTAGTGTGGACAAAAGCTTTGCCGTAGGGTATTTTTTATGAATTAAAGAAGGGAGGGGGTTGGGTCACCCTACCCCAACTTTGGACCTAGATTAAAAAAGTTCCGTAACTTAACCCACCTGGGTCTTTGGGTCCAGGAAACCTTAGGCAATTGCTTATCATTTGTACCTAGTGTTGACAAAAGCTTTGCCGTAAGGACTTTTTTATGAATTAAAATTGGGTGGTGGTAGGGTCACCCTACCCCAACTTTGGACCTCGATTAAAAAAATTCCGTAACTTTACCCACCTGGGTCCTTAGGTCCAGGCAACCTTAGGCAATTGCCTATTATTTGTACCTAGTGTGGATAAAAGGTTTGCCGTAGGGACTTTTTTATGAATTAAAATTGGGTGGGGGTTACGTCACCCTACCCCAACTTTGGACCTCAATTAAAAAAATTCCGTAATTTTACCCACCTGGGACTTCAGGTCCAGGCAACCTTAGGCAATTGCCTATTATTTGTGCCTAGTGTGGACAAAAGCTTTGCCGTAGGAAATTTTTAATGAATTAAAGAAGGCAGGGGGTTGGGTCACCATATCCCAGCTTTGGACCTCAATTATAAAAGTTCCGTAATTTTACCCACCTTGGTCTTTGGGTCCAGGGAACCTTAGGCAATTGCCTATGATTTATACCTAGTGTGGACAAAAGCTTTGCCGTAGGGACTTTTTTATGAATTAAAGAAGGGAGGGGGTTGGGTCACCCTACCCCAACTTTGGACCTCAATTAAAAAAGTTCCGTAACTATACCCACCAGGGTCTTTGGGTCCAGGCAACCTTAGGCAATTGCCTATCATTTGTACCTAGTGTGGACAAAAGCTTTGCCGTAGGGACTTTTTTATGAATTAAAGAAGAGAGGGGGTTGGGTCACCCTACCCCAACTTTGGACCTCAATTTAAAAAGTTCCGTAACTTTACCCACCTGGGTCTTTGGGTCCAGGCAACCTTAGGCAATTGCCTATCATTTGTACCTAGTGTGGACAAAAGCTTTGCCGAAGGTACTTTTTTATGAATTAAAGAAGGGAGGGGGTTGGGTCACCCTACACCAACTTTGGACCTCAATTAAAAAAGTTCCGTAACTTTACCCACATGGGTCTTTGGGTCCAGGCAACCTTAGGCAATTGCCTATCATTTGTACCTAGTGTGGACAAAAGCTTTGCCGACGGTACTTTTTTATGAATTAAAGAAGTGAGGGGGTTGGGTCACCCTACACCAACTTTGGACCTCAATTAAAAAAGTTCCGTAACTTTACCCACATGGGTCTTTAGGTCCAGGCAACCTTAGGCAATTGCCTATCATTTGTACCTAGTGTGGACAAAAGCTTTGCCGTAGGGTATTTTTTATGAATTAAAGAAGGGAGGGGGTTGGGTCACCCTACCCCAACTTTGGACCTCAATTGAAAAAATGCGGTAACTTTACCCACCTGGGTTTTTGGGTCCAGGCAACCTTAGGCAATTGCCTATCATTTGTACCTAGTGTGGACAAAAGCTTTGCCGTAGGGTATTTTTTATGAATTAAAGAACGGAGGGGTTGGGTCACCTTACCCCAACTTTGGACCTCAATTAAAAAAGTTCCGTAACTTTACCCACCTGGGTCCTTAGGTCCAGGCAACCTTATGCAATTGCCTATTATTTGTACCTAGTGTGGACAAAAGTTTTGCCGTAGGGACTTTTTTATGAATTAAAATTGGGTGGGGGTTAGGTCACCCTACCCCAACTTTGGACCTCAATAATAAAAGTCTGTAACTTTACCCACCTAGATCTTTGGGTCCAGGCAACCTTAGGCAATTGCCTATCATTTGTACCTAGTGTGGACAAAAGCTTTGCCATAGTGACTTTTTTATGAATTAAAATTGGGTGGGGTAGGGTCACCCTACCCCAAATTTTGACTTCAATTTAACAAGTTCCATAACTTAACTCACCTGGGTCTTTGGGTCCAGGCAACCTTAGGCAATTGTTTATCATTTGTATCTAGTGTGGACAAAAGTTTTGATGTAGGGACTTTTTTATGAATTAAAATTGGATGGTGGTAGGGTCACCCTACCCCAACTTTGGACCTCAATTAAAAAAGTTCCGTAACTTTACCCACCTGGGTCTTTGGGTCCAGGCAACCTTAGGCAATTGCCTATCATTTGTACCTAATGTGGACGAAAGCTTTGCCGTAGGGACTTTTTTATGAATTAAAATTGGATGGTGGTAGGGTCACCCTACCCCAACTTTGGACTAAAATCTGTATGTCAATTCTTTTTACGTTCTATTTGGGTGCCTCTCTTACACTTATCACTCTTCCTTTCGAAATATATTAACTACATTACCAGAGTGACGACATACTTTTGAATAATTAGAAAAATGAACTAGTTCTTTGACAAAAGAAGAAAACTGCGTATAATGCTTTTATTTCTAAAGAAAATCTAACAAAAAATACTGGACGTTTTCTTTTCAAACGCATATGTAAAGTAGAAGATTTATTTGTATCGTTACATGTACACTAGTTTAGTTTCATTATTATAAAAACAACAAACCCATCTCTAATCAGACAGCACTTAAAAGAGAAAGGATTACCTAATAGGAATTTTAGATGTCCGGTTAAAAAACAGTTGTATTAGATACACGAATAACTAATTAACTTTGTCTGTGTTAAAATGGAATTGCATTTCGTTCTCCTACTGGAAATTAGTTTCATTAGAATTAAAAGGACGTTTTGTGTTATTGCAAGTCTTCGGTTTTTAGGCATGATCATGTTGGCGCGTTTTCTTATTGTTCGCTGGCTTATTGTTCGCTAGCTTGATGCATCTTATTGTTCGCTGGCTTAGTGTTCGCTAGCTTGAGTCTGGTACAAAATTATCTACTTAGAAAAAGATGAATAGAGTCTTTAAACGGGACCTGACGTTCACTTAAACCCCTATTTTGGTTTTCTTTCTATGCAAATAGGACATTCAGCTATGTTGTCTTGTTTCTGTAAAATATAAGTAAATTCAATGCTATCAATTATACTTTGACAACTGATAAGTATGATTACATTTATACGATAAGACAATTTTGACTTTGACGAATTGAGTTTATTTTTCTTGTTTTTTTTTGGAAAAGTTCTTTTTAGCAAAAAATATTGCCATCATTGCTATATCGAGATTTTTTCCTTGATATTGATATACATGTATGACTTAAAACTAGAACCTATGACAAAGTATTGATTTCAACTTTCCCAATTGTCAATGTTCCATTTCTCGGCAGCAACATACCATCTGTCTCGAGATCTCAGTAAATACGTTACTTTTGTGTTTTTGCTCATTATACTTTATTATCAGTTTTGTGCTTATACAACATGTTTTAGCGTTCTGAGTGCTTTAGATACCAGTATAGTCGTCTAATCTTTGAATTTACCAAGTGTGTCGTATTCGCTATTGTGACATTTTGACCGAGTGTGGATTCGCATGTCTGGTAGCACATGCACAGACGGGGACAATTACTATGTCGATGCACCTGGTCTCGCTCCCTTTTTTCACAGTTTTTGTTTTTATACCTTGATAACCTTAATTATTCCGCTTCGTGCCTGATATGGTATCTCCAGTTATGATTCTTCCGGAGCAACATAGTTCATTTCCGGTTAAAGTCTTTTCTTAAATGATAAACGTTAAATGTATCTGTACATTACAATTCCAATTTGAAAGTACTACCAAATTTGTTAAAAAGACAGACTTTAAAACAAAATTGAGAATGGAAATGGGGAATGTGTCAAAAAGACAACAACCCGACCATAGAGCAGACAACAGCTGAAGGCCACCAATGGGTCTTCAATGCAGCGAGAAACTCCCGAACCCGGAGGCGTCCTTCAGCTGGCTCCTAAACAAATATGTATACTAGTTCTGTGATAATGGACGTCATACTGAACTCCAAATTATACACAAGAAACTAGTATTAAAAATGATACAAGACTAACAAAGGCCAGAGGATCCTGACTTGGGACAGGCGCAAAAATGCGGCGGGGTTAAACATGTTTTTTGAGATCTCAACCCTCCCCCTATACCTCTAGCCAATGTAGAAAAAACAAACGTACAACAGTTTGTATTGTTCTAATGTATACATTGTAGCATTATGTCATATAAAAAGATAGTGTATATTCTAAAGTCGAATTCAACGTATAACGTATATTTAAATGTCACTTGTGATATTTTTCTCTCCAATGAAACAATACATTAATCCATATTGAATATATACACTATACGTACAAATTTATATACTGACACCTTTGGATACTTACCGACTGTACTTTTACTGATATACAGCATTTGGATCATGCATTATGTGATTCATGGGTGCACGGCCTACAAATTAAATTTTTTGATATGTTATTTAGGATATACAAGGATGTTGAAATTCATAAATAATTTTTCAAATGAGCCCTTACCAGGTGATATATAAATTTTAAAGGTGCTTTCAACTGTTTTGTATAAAATACAAGCGGCAACAGAGTAAAATCCCTTTTGATTTACATAATTGATGAAAAAGTATCAAGCTTTGTTTTTGTTTTTGATGGTAATAATAAGTTAGTTAGCTTTCAATTAAAACATGCTGAATGATCAAAATGATTTTAAAAATTTGAATAGATTTATTTGGTTGAAGGGGAGACAATACTGTAAACTTCTTGTTTTTGAAAAAAAAAAAAATTGTAACTACTGCAGTGCTTTCCGGAGTAGGCGAATGTATCCTCAAGCAAAATTTCTTCAATGAACCAGGTTAAATCTATGCAATCTATACATTTTTTATTATCTGAAATATGTCTATCTTTTCTTCATGTTGTTACACATGCCCTGATTTCGTTCATGTTGTGAGCAATTTCATATCATGTCCTTTAGGTAAAACTTTTTTATTATGTTAAAATTACACTTTATATGACAGTTGTGATCCATTCGTTTGATGTGTTTGAGCTTTTGATTTTTCCATTTGCGTAGGGTTTTCCCTTTAAAATTTTCCTTGGAATTCGGTATTTTTGTTATTTTACTTTTTTCTTCATTATACATGTTATAAACTTGAGAAGATTCTGATTCAAGTGATATTTAGTTTTATACAAGTATAAGTATACACAATAAAACAACTACGGGGTCTCTTGTGAATGGTCTCCCACAATATTACGCCATACAGAACATTGTTGATTTCACCTGAGATATAAGTCCTTAAGAATGCATTATAGAAATCAAGTTCAGGAAGACAACTCTAATAATATCCTATAGAATCTGTTATAAAATGAATGCAACTTAACTGTCCTAGTCAGGCAGTATTCATTCCTTTCATCGACACCATATTGTAACTGATTGACAAATATAGACATTTGTAGCCTTTCATGAATTGTATCACAAAATTGGATTTTACATGATTCTTCTATTGACTACTATTTGAGTACTGCTTATTTATCCTTCTGATTTCTTGAAAGATAACGTGCCCCATACACCAGTTCACATCACGCGGTCTTGAATAAACATTTACTTTAACTTCAAGTTCAAATGTTTTACCTTCAATAACTTGTTCGTCTCCTAATACGTTTTCAATTGCGGATGAAAGAGCTGTAAACAGAAAAAAGGTTTAAATTGTTTTTTTAATAATATATGTAATTGTCTTTGAAATTATCAGATCGTCAACAGATACCACAACATTTAATCTCCTCTATACATCGTTAAATATTTCAAGTAATCCTATCCTGCATAATTCAGTCCACATATGCACAGAATTCAGGGTACGATTTGGTCCAATCAATAGTAATTCAGATACAAATATTTCAGTCTGATAAATGGTGAGTCGAAAACAATAGAAATGTAACTCTTAAACAGACATTATATGATAAAATGAACATTTCATCTAAGTGTTATTTATATAAATATATTGTCAATAATATAAGTTTACTGAATTATCTCACTAAACATATGCATTTTAGAGTGTATTTAACTCGTCTTAGATTGTCTTCACATAATTTGTTTGTTGAAGTAGGCCGTTATCATGGAGAAAAAAGGTTAGACAGAAAATGTGCTCTTTGTACTTTGGATACCATTGAAGATGAATTCCATTTTGTTTTACAATGTGAATGCTATAGAGATTTAAAAAGACAGTTTATTAAACCTTATTATTATAGGCGTCCATCGTCGTTCAAATTGGTTCAACTTCTCAGCACTGAAAATGTCAAAGATTTGCGTAGTTTGTGTAAATTCCTATTTAATACACTTAATCATAGGACTTAACTGTTAGTGGACAATACTTGATGTTTATTTGCTTCTCTGATGTATTATGCCATTTTATGTTATAAAAATGTATTTGTATTTATTGTACTGATAAGCATAATGTGCTTAAAGTAATAAAGAATTGAATTGAATTGAAAGTCACTACTTATTTCCTACGTTAACCACAATGATTTAATGTTAATTTGAACCACAACTATAGCTCGTCGGTGCTTGCCTGGTGTCTTATTAAATATTTTTGTTATTTGGAGAATTTAGTGTGTATGGCAAATCTTCGATATATATAGTTGCTGTCTAATTTATTCATACTTTGCAGGGACTCGCGACGATTCAGAGCTTCCGTATATTGTAAAGACACCGTTCTATTGTTGAAGACTGTGTGTTGCATTCTGGATGTCTTTTACTTATTTATTGTATTGGGCTGTTGTCTAATTCACCTGTATACCACAAATAAAGTATGCATTCCCTGAATGGAAAAATCTTGCAGTACTTTGTGTAGTCCTTGGATACTATGTTTCATATTCAAAAGAAACAGTCTTCACCTTTTTCTCAATCATTGAGTGAGTGGAAAGAGAAGGTTCATTCAAATCCGGAACGTTTGATAAAGCTACAATAATAAGACTTTTTATTAGATTATATTTGTCGGCAATTATTTCTTAAGTAACTAATATTTTTGCTATTACCGTCGAGAACTGTCACATGACAGTGAGATATAGATTCCTCTTCATGACTTGACGTTCCCTTTGATTTTGCTTCACATGAGTACTTCCCCGAGTCTTTTACAGTAGCATTTGAAATTTTAAAAATTAGTTTTCCATCCCTCAATAATAACTTCCTATTTCCTTTTGAAGAGGTAACATCTTCCCCTTCGTGTAGCCAGGTAACTGACGTGACAGATTCAGACGGTCGTACTTCAGCTTCTAGATCAAATGATTCTCCAATATTTACGGAGGTATCTACTAATTTCTTAAGAAATTCCGGTTTCACTGTAATTATAAAAGTTGTTATTCAATTTCCCTCACAGAACATGATGACATTTTCATTTATAATATTCTTTAATATTTAGAAATGGTATAGACTGTTATTTAGTATCAGACTTAACCATGCTGTTATTTCACTGTACAGCAAACAGAAATGTTACATCGGCATTTTTTTCTGAAGAAAAAAAAAACAAACCCAAAACTATTTATTATGTAGAAATCTAAATGTTACTTATAAGCATTATTTATTTCATAAGTTGAATGACTATTTACTGCTTGATCGACACAATATCACTTATCATTTAAAATTTCTTTTCTTATAAACTTTTAAAGTAGATATACATATTTATGTGACGAAGGCTATTTGTTCACCCGAAATATTTGTGAACACGATTTTATACCATCATCTTCGTATATTGCTATCTTATATAAGTACCGTTGCGTAATTCTTAAAACTTATATATGTATATGTGTTTGTCGATTTTGTTAAATGTCTTGATGGTTTGCTTTTTAAAATTTACGTATACGGCAATAATTTTTCAATATTTATAATAGATCTTCATTTCACACAAATGCTGATTATTTTATTAGCTGAAAGGCGAATTATTTGCTTTTATTTCGTATGAAAATCGCCCATGACGTATGAAAGAACCCCAAGATTATAGAGTCATCAGCTTCGATTACTAATCAATCGACACCACTTTTCGCATTGTTCGTGTACGTCTTGCGAACGATTAATGGGTTTAGAAAAAAGTAGTGTACAGTATATCTGGAAATATGGATAAATGATTTAAATATGATAATTATAACAATATATAATTATCATATGATACACATTTGCAATAATGATTGAAATTTGCTAAATATTTCTTGGACTATCTACTTTAAAAACGACATCTTCATATGCCAGTTTCAGCTATATGATGTATTGTAATTGATTTCACGTGGGTTATACTGCCTTCATCTCACAAGACATTTGTGTTTTAAGTTTTACTTTCAGATTCAAAATGTACATAACATATATTTATTTATTTGAAAAATCGGCAAATTTAAGAATTAAATTTGTGCTTTTCAAAACTTATAGGTTTTATACGAAAGCAAGTGCATGACCATGCTTTCCTTTTCTATAAATTTAAAAAATAGGAAAGCAAGTGACCAATACTTTTTAGGACGTAGTGCTTCCGCACTTAATGCAAAATGTGATGGTCTCATGCTATCATTTCGTATTATTTTTCAAAATACAACATTCAATTACATATTAATAAATTGAACTATATTCATTTAATTGTCATAAAACTGGACATATTGGAAAAGAATGAAATTTTGGAAGCTGGATTTAACATTTGATGGTTTTGCTTGTTAATCATTGTGTTAATGTTCAAGATCTAACTGTTCTCGTCTTAACTGAGAAAAAAAAAACGAATTGACAGCAATACTGAAAACAAACTGAAATACTGAACAAATCGTCAAAAGTAAACTCTCTTATTGCAACGGAAAACATGAATTAGAGTATGATATTATGATATTCCGTCTAACATTAATAACCTCTTTATCAATATTTATATGCGTTAACTAAATGGAGAACATACATACCAGGTAGAACATACAAGCGGATTTCATGGCGAACTTGTTTTGTGATTTTCCCGTATTTTTCAGCAATACAAACGTACATGCCATCATCTTGAAACCTAGCTTTGGTGATGCTTAAAGTGGCATGCCCATTGGTTTCATTAAAACCCTCTCTGTGACATGTTGAAAATTTGATAACTCGATCGTTTCCTTTATTCCAAATAACACTGTTTGCATTTTCTACTATCGCATGAATTGTAATGTCGTTACCTACACTAACAGACTGGTCAGTTGGTGGTTGTTTGAATCTGGGAACTAGCAAATGTAGAAAATAATGTTTATTTATTTAATTGAAACAAATCATCATGGCATTATTTAAGGCATCAATACCATAACAGACCACGAACTAGTTCAAAAAAGACAAAAATATAAATGCAAAATTAAAAATACGACTTCGTTTCATTCTGAATTTTATTGACAAAATTTAATAGATTTTGGAACCACTTTAAATGAAATAAACACATGGACTAATTCAAGCCAATGACATTAATCGAAAAACAATATAACAGACGGTAATAACCACAACCACTGGAAAACAGGCCCATGGCATAAGACAACAATTTAATGGGGTTGAACGTGATACTTTAACATTGTTATGAATTTGAAGAAAGGACCAAAATCATTATGTCCATAAAGCTAACAATTAAGGAATTATCCTCTGTCTCTTGGGCTTCAAAGGTTTTTTGATAAAGGTTATAAAAACAAGTAACTTTATTCCCGCCACAAATGCATGTTCCATTTCAGGTTCATCGTCAGTAGTTCATCATTCCATCATGTCTTTTGTTAGTTAGAGAATTGGAAGTTGATGGCAGATCATTAATTTGTTTTGTTTCATTTATTCACCCCTTTCATAGACTTTGAATGATATAGGGATTTGACATATTTCTCTAATTGACGTATATCCTACATCTACTTTTATTCACATATAAACTTTTTGTAGTTGTTTTAAAGCAAACTATTAGCAATTCTTACTTTCGTCTATTACATCAACAGTTGCACTGTCTCGACAAGAATCATCTTTACCTGGATTTAAACACAGAAAAATATAACTTAATATGCATCCGGTTACAGAACATATATTTATTATTGTTTGTGTCAATATTTTAAATGATCTTTTTTACTAAGATACTTCAATTCCAATTTGAGTTTTCATTAATTAAGAGTGACACATGTGTAATGTTTTTGTTTTGATTGGAAGGCTGTTACACTATTTTCGAAATAAATGAGCCCTAAAGTGGCCTTATCATACTTTCTTCTTTTTGAAAAAATATAAACAGCATCTTTTTACTATTACAAAAATATTACCAACAAATGAAAATACCGTATTTATACTCACAGCAGCACCAAGTAATGACTTGTGTAATAAGTAAAAACCATGATATACAAAGTGTGGTACATTCCAAATACAAGGACCATCCAACATCACTTACACTTGCAGAAAGTTCTGACATGATTGCTGTAACAAATATAGTCAAAGCTGCACCTTGTATCATGCCTGAAATATACAAAAATATACGACTAATTGTATCATTGCAGTCCACAAGTAATAACAGAGTACAAGAAATCGTCTTCTTTGTAAGAGGTTTTAAATATAAATGGATACCGTAGGAACGTGAAGGTTTTAGTTTCTCCGACTTAGGAATCCGGGCCATTCATTTCCTTATTCTGGTCGTCCACGGTCGTGTGGAGTGTATCGGAAACAACGCCCGCCTCTTAGAAATGGATGTTTGTACCATGTTAGGGGAGTACCCCGCTCCTACCACGGAAAGAACCTGCCAGCATTTATCGTTGATAGTACCGATGTGAATGGAAATTTTCCTATCCTATTATACTTTCCATAAATTATCTGTGGCAGAAAAAACAATCTTTCCCATTTTTACTAACCCACTAACATTTCATTTTATGTTCGTTTGACATCATCCATTTCATGATCTTGGCCTCGACATAGTCTGTCTCTTAATTTAGAATTATTTATAAGGAATTTGCCCAGATACAGATATGTGCAAGAGATAAATACTTTTTGTGGCAATCACAAACGTGTCTTGCAAATGTTATGATATAGTCTTCTTTTCAAACTTTTCATAGAACTTTTTTTCAATAATTAATAGTTGACTACACGTTCGTACATAAAAACAGCGTTACTTGATTAAGTAAATAACAAAGGAAAACAAAACTATTATATAGTTAAAGTGATAAGAAATTACTTACACCAAGCAAACATGACAAAGCTGGTACATCTACAGGTCTTTGATCCTTTACAACCATTACAAAATAAAGAAAACAGCATTACGATAATAACCAAACAGACCCAGCTACATGCCCCAATTGACAGATAAAACACTGTATCAAGCATATCTGAAATTAGAAAAAATAAGGAAATACTAAGATCAGCTATAGAACAAAAAGGAAATACTAAGATCAGCTTCAAATTAGTTACGATCATCGAGTGACATGTTGATGTTAGCTGTAGCTTTACCGTTGCAATAACTAGTTTGACCTGTTCATACACTATATCAAACCTAGTATTTTGGTGTTTGTAATGTCTTTTTAAATGAAATTATTAGGTAAAATTGCAATGTTTTTTCTTATATTTCTTTGTACGCTTTAGTCTGTAGTTTGTTAATACTATCAAAATCTGTGCGATTCAGCTCACTTCGGTACTGGCATGAAAATACGGATATTGTCCTATCAAAATTTGCTATTACACAATTTTGGATTTCATTTTAGATTAAAGAATATATTCCCCTCACGAAACGCTCTGATTCCTTGTCCGTCTTTGGCTATACTTTTTGTCCTACTTGGTTTACCAGCTCTTCATTTTTTCAATACATTTTTATTTTTAAATAGTTAGGTCTCGATCATCAATGAAGAGACATTTATTGTCCAAATGCGCATCTGGTGCAGAACAATTGGTACCGTTTGTGTTATCGTAGCATACTCGCCATCTATCAGAGACTTTCGATCAAGCCTGTACTAGGAGTCCAAGTAAGGAACATGACTGTTGTTTTCCTAGATGTTTAAGTCAGGAACATGACAGTTGTTTTCCTAGGAGTCAAAGTCAAGAACTTGACACATTTTTTCCTAGTAGTCTAAGTCAGGAACATGACATTTGTTTTTCTAGGGGTCCAAGTAAAAAAAATGACAGTGGTTTTCCTAGAAGTCCAATTCAAGAACGGGACAATTGTTTTCCTAGGAGTCCAAGTCGGAACATGGAAGCTGTTTTCCTAGGAGTCCAGGTCAAGAACATAATAGATGTTTTCCATTCGTTTCGTTGGTTGATATATTAGAACGTTTGATATTGTCAGATTTCATGGACTTCCTCTTTTTGAATTTACCTTCGAGTTCGGCATTTATGTTAATACCTCTGTACAAGGAGACTGCAGTGATGTTTGAGCTTTTGTTTCCGGTCAAGGTCTTACTGTGATTTTGAGAAGAAGATCAGCAATTTTAAGCGCTGTTTGTTTTCGTTGTGTAATGTCACGTACATGTCATGCGTGTATAGGGATTTTTTTAACCATTAGTTAGTTCTTTCTAGTCCTTGTTATCGCTATCAGTTAAAATGCTTTACATTTATTGGATTTCTAAGCTTCACATACTTATTAGAAACTTGTTAATTGTTGAAAACTCTGTGTTGACATCTGCATCTCTTATTGTTTTTATGTCATTGAGGTATATACCTAACATTGCTTTTTTATTCAATCTTATGTATACATTGCCTTTTGAGCAGGCGTAATCATTACACGTTAACATAAAAGGTTTCATCAGTTTACAAGAAGTATTATAACGAAGCAGACGTGTTTTTTTGCGTGTCTTCTTTGTTAATGCAAACAGGGAATTTTATGGTAGGCAATATCTAAGATAAACTCTGCACTCTTGTATTTGTTTTCAAACAAGATTATTAACATCCAAGTTTGTCCAAACATTAAATGCACAGGATACTTGGATATAAAACAGAGGGGTTTTTGAATATTTAATGTATCATAACAGAGTGTATTTTGAAATAAAATGAAATTTTCAAAATTTGATGATGTTCGATGATCGGCTTAGATCACATAATTATTTCAGAATTGTATGATTTTAATTAATTATTTAATTTACATTCAATAAAGAATAATTGATAAAATGATCGAGGAGGGTGAGTTAGTTAAAAAATGAACATGAAACTTATGTTTTGAAAATCAATTCGAATGAAAAAGACAAAGAATTTATCAGAGACCTTTTTTGCAGTTTGCTTTTCAAGAATCAAACGAATCTGTTTTTGTAAAGTTGTGTCTTTCAAACAGTTCCAAAACATAAAAGTATATTTCATTCACGTGCATATGTAAAGTCTAAAAACATATGAAAAGTGTTGTTCCTATATCGCTCCTGTATTTAAAAAATATGATCAATTATTTTACAACATTTCTTTTTTATAGGCCCATTATTATCATTATCACTTACATTTAAGATTTGGGAGTTTATCCACAACTTTCTGACAGCTGGTATCATGTTCAGTATCGTAACAATATAGCCTTAAGCCGAGATGATATTCTTTTTTCTTTATCCATTCGTTTGTAAACAGACCACATAAAAGAAAAATCTCAATAAACAAATATCCAGCTATTATTGAAATTGCCAGTTTTTTCCTTAAATCCATTAGTCGTAAATTATGAACTAAATATAAAAAGTCCAAATTGACGCTAAATATTGCTTGTTGTATTAAAGAAATTTTTAGCGACGTTTATTACCAGGTCTTATCCTTATATTGAATATTTGTCACAAAGAATTTTTGAAAAGAATGAATGTACAGTTGTATAAAACGTTGATCATATTACTTATCATTTAAATGTAATTGTTGCGCTTTACAGCTCTTCGAAAGAATAATTTTAGTGACATCAAGCGCATAATTTTCAATCCACCCACCTAAAACGCTGCTTTTTATTATATACCATTGACAATGACATCGCATATCCTTTCTCTTTTCCAGGTCGTCAAATATTTGTGAAGTGAAATTCTTGCAAAGCACGTCACAGATCTAGGAAGGCCATTGTTCTCTCTTTTTGTTTTAGGATAGCAAAGAACTTATATGTAGTCAATATAAGATTAAAGATTGAAAGGAGCGTCAAATAACTGTCTTCAAAAAGAGGGAAAAAATACAGTGAATAATACGATTGTAATTCGTGCTTAAAGTTAATTGGTGAATAAAGGGCGCTATAACTTTGTTTTCATTATATACTGTATTGTGGCCGTATTGCATTTTGTACCAACTAAAAAAAAAACCCTTAAAACTTAATTGCGCCATTTTAAAATGCCCAGGTAAGATTACTTCATTTTATATAACTGTTTTCGTTCATTACCACATGGTCAATGACACTGATAGAGATTTCATAATCGATGAATCTCAAACTGCGGTACATAAAAGGGGGGAGGGGGGGGGGGGGGGGGGGGGGGGGGGGGGTCGGTAAACATAAAGAAAATATGTAGCCCTTCTCCTTACTGTTTTTAAAGTTAACGACTGGTCTTTTAGAAATAAATGTTTTAAGAAAATTAGTCTGATACGTTTTGAAATTACTTATATGATCATCGGATTTTCATAAAATTCATAAAATTTTATTTTTTTGTTGAAGCAAATGATAAATAATAATAATGCTATTAAGAATCACTAGCCTAGAATCGAATCTCTTATTGTTATGATGCCTAATTTATTCGAAAACCCTCTCTTTTGTAAAGGCAAAAAGTATATAACATTTGTGTTTTATCGGCACATGGTATATAGGCGTTTCCTTATCTCCCTAAGTTTTACATCTTTATCGCTAGACTTTCCCTAAGCAAAGCTCAGTCTAATATCCTTTTCAGCAAAAGAACCAAAAATAAGGACGTGTGGCATAGCTAGTTGAATTCCAATTAAAAATAACATCACGTAGATTTTTCATAAAGATGTTCCAATAAAACTGAACATCCATGAATGCACGTGTTGACGTTGACAACATTACAATAATCGTAGAATTGTCAAAACAACAAAACGAACGAAAAGCTTTATTTACCACGAGTTTTCTTGATTTAATCATTAAAGTGTAAAACTTCCCTATGTCTCATAAAAATTCTGTCAATGAATATTGAAAAGACTGTAGGCATGCATTAAGAGAAGGTGCAATAAGAATCCAAAAAGCAAAACATTAAATGGACTAAGCAGTCTGTGAAAGTATTAAGGGTTTAGCACGGATATGAGATGAATTTAGATCAAATATTGGTTAGAAATGAATGTCGTAACATTATCAACGACTCACTCCATACTGTAAAAAAATGGATAAAAGGAGAAAAGCTGACAAACAATCCTTAGATTTTTTTACAATACAGTAATGCAAATAGAGAATATTCGTATTAAAAATGTTTAGAACATTTTACTCTTAACAATAACCATAATAGCTTTATTTTTATAATACTAGTAGTAACTAAAGGAACATAATAATTGAATATTGACATTATATATTTTATATACAGTGGCTGTATTTTGCTTTTGTTGTCTCTTTCAGTTCGTTCGTTCGTCACTTAATATTGACGTGAAATGCGATGCTTACCGATTGGACTAACACAATTTCCATGTTTGTGTCGTCCGCGCGCGATAAGATGACTGAACCAAAAGAACGAAATTTTACTCAACCAGATGATATGCATTTCGACAATCAATGTCTTTTCGGTGATGCTCCAGGCCAACATATTTGAAATGTAAAACTTGATTTAAACGATAATGAACGTATAAAACCAAGAGTAGCCAAAAAAGGTAAGCCCAAATTAGACAAGGAATCAGAGTCATGCATGAAAAAGATATATTCCTTAATTTAAAAGGATCTCACAAAACAAACAAATATCAATAAAACAATTTCCATATTTTCCTGCGAGTTACGAAGTACTGGCTACTGGCCTGGTGATACTACCGGGGACTCCAACTCCAACAGTAGACTTATCGTCCTAATGATAGTAATAACGATAACTGTACCAATTTTACTGCACCACGATTCAACACTGAACATTCAGCATGCGAGACAAACACAGTACAACACAAATATACGAGGCATTTAGGACTGACCACAGCTTAAATAGAGTATTTTTTCTGTCGCTTCTCCGGTATACCATAATGATATAATGACAAATAAATATTTCGGTAGTTTTGTTGCAAGTCATTTCGATTCGGTACTAATCATTTCCTAAATATAGCTCATGCAATTGGCTTACAGAAATTAGGAATTACTTTTAATTGATTTGGTAAGGTTCCTTATTAAAAATAATGTTTTTATGCAAACTGATAGCCGGGTTATTATGATGGTTTGCTGTATAAGAATTTTTTTCATTTTGCTACTGCATTTAAACAACAATAC